TTACAAAATCAGTAACATGATTGCGATTTGACTCAGTGCATACGGAAGGCAGATGTTTTTGCTAAAAATTGCCTATTTAACAGTTTCATAACAGAGTCTTAACAACTGTCTTTGTATACAGTCAGACTGGCTTCTGATCCCTGGTATAGCTTTTGCTACCTTATCAAGGTCCTGATCTATGGAATTATCCTTTGTGGCTGTATATGAATATAGCTCTTATAAAGGCTTCACTTTTAAAATACATATAAAGCTTAACAATATCTTTTGTTGTTGCAGTGCTATTAGAAAAAGAAGAAACAATAAAATAAAATAAAAATTTGCTAGAGATGCAGATGTGAAAAGGGGCACATTAAAATGCTTCATGGGTAAACTTTAGCCCTAATCTTAGCATTGACATTGTAATATTTCAGTTTGGGCTATTCACAGAAGCACTTTATAGTGGTCCCTTTTCCCACCCTGGATCCAGGACTGGGTTGCTGGGGGTTCATACAGGTTTGGGCAATCCTCTATCTAGGATTCTGCCCAGTTTGGTGATCCCCCAAATGCCACCCATGGCTGGCCATGTGCACCCCACCATGCCCTCCTGCCCCTCCCCTGCCAGGAGTCTCCACATGGCCCACTCATCATGCCACGTGAGGGCAGGGCCCATGTGGAGGCTCGGGGAGGGGGGCAGAACAGGCCTACCAGAGGTTCCATAACCCCAGAAATAGGCCTATTTCCAGCCTCCAGATGGCAGGGAAACACTTTTTGCTCTCCCAGAGGCTCAAAGAACCTGTTGCTCCAGAACCTGGGGAAGGTGCAAAATGCCCCCTGTCCCTGCTATGGTGCAGGAGACTGATTAGGCCATGCCCACCCAGCAATGTGGCAGTGAACCTGTTGCTGCAATTTTTGAAGCCCCCCCTCCTGCCTGGATCTAAGAGCAAATCACGATGGCGTCAATTGCATTGTCCCTACTCATACCCTTAACTCTCAACCGGAACTAAGTCTTGTTATGCTGCTGTACATATAGGTCCTCCATAGGATGCTACAAGGGCAGTGATTGGCAGCTTTCTTGGCTGAAATTCAAATGTCACCAACAAAGGGAAAAGCTGTAACTGAACACTGTGTAGAATATATGCCAGTGTGGTGCTTGTAAGGTCTAGACACTCTGTCAAATCCTGCTTATTTCCCTCGAAAGGACTGTTGACCTATTGACCTATCAACCATTATGTGTTATCAAGGAGTTTGTCTCCCTTACTTGTAATGATGTAGTAAACTGGACTTGTGCAGTGCAGATGCAGTCAGCAAATATATAGTCTTGCCAGGGGGCAATGATATATGGGAAGACCCTGAAAGACCAGGTAAAGAGATGCCACATAGGGAACAGTTAGACAAGATTGGATTAGATAAACCATGCCTAAAGTGGGAGGAGAAAGAACCTCTCAAGGGACCCTCCCTAGTTTTGGTAGGAGAATTGTAATTCCAGATTTGCAAATGTTTCTGTTAACGTAGTTTTACAATAAAATAGAATTAGTTTAGCTGGTCATATTTCCTGCCTGGTCTATCTGGTAAGAATAATACAGAGTTTGTCAAAACATATTTTGATGGAAGGTGTTCATGTAATGGAATGGTTATTGTGCAGTCAACCTGTACACCACTAGGTGTCAGCAAAGAATTGGAAATTTGTCTGTCTCTCTTCGCTGCCATCTAGCAGTAGTCTGGATTTGTGCAGTAGATTAGACATACAACTCTAGTTATCCTGAAAGGAACAAGGGGAAAATGTGGCTGTGTGACATACTACAATGGAGTGAACGTTTAAGAGAATAGTCTATAATGAAAGAAAGAAAGGATGGCTTTCTTTGAACATTGGCTACAGGGATGGGAATTACTCACCAAACAGGCTATAGAAGCACAAGTCACAATTGCATATGTTGTTGGAGATAAACTAGTTAATTTTAAAGCTTCATACTCTCTAGGTTTATCAACACCCCAACCCCACCAAAGAAGCTAGGCTCATGGCCAAAACACCACTGCAGAATAGACATTGACCACAGCAACCTGATGGAAAGGGAAGTTCCACAGCAGACAAACTAGATTGTTTGAAGCCAAGCAGATAGACACCTCAAGCCACATCACTTCCGCTGCCAAAAAAGCCAGCACAGTCTCAGGTTGTATTCATAGAGGAATAGAATCAAAATCACATGTTAATACCACTTTATAATGCCTTGGTAAGACCATACTTGGACTACTGCATCCAGTTATGGTCACCACAATGTAAAAAAGTTATTGAGACTCTAGAAAGAGCACAGAGAAGAGCAACAAAGATGATTGGGGGACTGGAGGCTAAAACATATGAAGAACGATTGCAGGAACCGGGTATGTCTAGTTTAATGAAAAGAAGGACTAGGGGTGACATGATAGCAGTGATCCAATATTTCAAGGGTTGCCACAAAGAAGAGGGAATCAAGCTATTCTCCAAAGCACCTGATGGCAGGACAAGAAGCAATGGATGAAAACTAATCAACGGTAGAAGCAACTTAGAACTAAGGAGAAATTTCCTGACAATTAATCAGTGGAACAACTTTCCTGCAGAAGTTGTAAATGTTCCAACAGTGGAAGTTTATAAGAAGAGATTGGATAATCATTTGTCTGAATTGGTATAGGGTTTCCTGCCTGAGCACAGGGTTGGACTAGAAGGCCTCCAAGGTCCTATCCAACTCTGTTATTCTGTTAAATGTCTTTTTCCATGCGTCATGCACATTCCACAGGAAACATCTCCTGCCAAAACAGCAGGGACAATGCTACTACCATGCTGGAAAATCTTGGACCAGCTTCAGCCTGCCTCAGCAGTAGGCTGTCAATGAGATGGATGCTCAGTTGTCATATATATGCACTATGATAGAGAGTGCCAAGCAATACATGTTTGATGTAGCATAGAGTCCATTTTTTTCCATCCATAAAGTGCTTCTCTTCCTTGCATTGCAAAATGGCTTCAACCAATCCATACAAAGGAGAACAATTGTAGATTTGCTGCAGTATAAATAGATTGTTAGGAGAAACAAACATTTGCTCTATTATTTAGGATACAGCTTTGCATTGATGGTAACACCAATAGTTTAATGGGTTTTCAAGAAATACTAATCACAGTTCAGTTTGATGTAATGCTATATATTTGTGCTTAATGAGTCGAATTTAATAACTCAATTTTTCTAAGTAGTAGTTATTGTGGTTCTATACTGTGTGCTTATGAGTTCACATACAATTCTTCTGAAAGCAAGAAATCTAGTTAACCAAAGGATTGGAATTTCCTAGCTACAGAAGTGAACATCTACATATTCAGTCTGTGAGTGGTATTCTTTATGCTTGGTAAATTGCTTCCAGATCTGATATATGAGGCAGGCTTTTTGGACCATTTCAGGATCTTTCAGTGCTAATATGATAAGGCTAAATGAAACAAATCTTCTTTTCTTTACCATTTTAATGCCATGCCATCTCTTGATCTGTTCCAGGAATTATAACATGTATGCATAAATGAAATGTCTCTCCAGATTGAGTACAGATTTCAGAAATTTCCTTTTATATCAGAAGGATGACCATAGCAGGAATCAGTTTCCAAATGATAGAAGATAAACTGGTGTTACTCAGATACACCTGAATTGTTGCTCACTACTCTGATGCTCTGCATGTTTTCTGGAAAAATTCTTGAATTATTTCCCTGAACAATGAGTAAAAGCTATATTCCATGGGATTTTCACAGCAAGCCTGAATTATTCTGAAATCTTGCACATGCTCCAGAGGGAGGTATGGAACAACAGCCACTTATTCCATTGGTCAGAAATAAGAATCTGAAGAAGGGAGAAAAATAAAAAGACTAGTTGTGGCAACAATGGTGCATTGGAATACCATTTGCCCACAAGCAAGCACTGATGGGACCGTAAAAAAAAAAAGGAATAGAAAATGAAGAAGCTAAAGTGATTTGGGACTTCAGAATTCAAACAGACAAGCTCCTGTCATATAGCACCCCAGACTTAAGAACTGTTGATAAGAAAGACCAAAAAGTCTGTATAGAAGATGTGGCAATAGACAGCAAAATAGAAGAGAAAGAATTGGATAGAATCGCAACGTACAAAGACCTGCAAATAGAAATAGAATGACCATGACAAAAGGAAGCAAATATAGAACCAATAGTCATAGGTACCTTGGGTGCAACTCCAAAATATCTGGGACACACTTGAACCCCTTCGCCATTCACAATATCACCATCAATCAATTGCAAAAGGCAGCTTTCCTTAGAAAAGCTTACCACCTTTGACACTACCTTCTACATCATAAAACAGCAACATCTGCCTAGTCCAGATATTCAGGTCCTTCATGTATAGACAAAAATGCAAAATTCAGTCTATAGATCTGGCTGACTGTATAACTAACCAAAAAGCATTATTATTTTATTTGCTATTATTAAACATATGCCCAGTTATATTAACAAATGCATTGTGAAAAGTGTAACCTTATTGAAATTCCAAACCATTTCTACATGCATAATTTAAAACTATATTTTAAGATAAGCAAAATCAGTGTTTCTCAAGCTTCCCAAAAACTGTTAGTTACGTTTAACTGAATACACGGATGAATAAGTAAAGCTGCTATTCCCTCACAGATTGATATGTCTGAGCTTTAATCTGATTTCTTGTTCAGTCCTTCATAGACTAATAAGCAGAGGTGGCATTCAGCCAGTTCTCTCCAGTTCGAGCAAACNAAGGTGGACTCCCGGCCCCGTTATAGTGTACCAGTTGCGACAGGATCCAGAACCCACCACTGGTGCGTGCGCTCACATTTGCGATCCGATAGGGAAGGTAAGTGAATCCCACCACTGGTTCGAGCACTCAACAACGATCAGGAGCAGTAGGACATTATTCCTAATAAACTGCCTCAAACTGAGATTAACCAGAGGTTAGCTAGCTTCAGCCAGCATCATTTCAGAGGAGATATATAGGCCGAAGTAGAAGAGCTGCTAATCTTACCTTCACACTGCTTTCCTTCTCCCTTATAACCTGGCTTGCAAATGCATTTGAATGACTTAGGTGTGTTCTGACAAATTGCATCAATGTGGCAGTCATCTGTCCCTTCTGTACATTCATCAGCATCTGTGCAACAAAACATTTGTTTTTAAAGAAAGTAAAACATAGCAAGCGATTTCATGACAACCTTGAGCAGAACTGGTGAAACCACTCAACTGAGCAAGGCAAAATCAAATCTAACCTAATCCTTGCAGTGGATCTTGAGCTACGGTGGCCCAGTGGTCAGAATGCAGTACTGCAGGCTACTTCTGCTGACTGCTGGCTGGCTGCGGTTTGGCAGTTCAGATCTCGCCAAGCTCAAGGTTGACTCAGCCTTCCATCTTTCCGAGGTGTGTAAAATGAGGACCCAGATTGTTGGAGGCAATATGCTGACTCTGTAAACTGCTTAGAGGGGGCTTTAAAGCACTGTGAAGCTGTATACAAGCCTAAGTGCTATTGCTATCTTCCATAGCTACGACACAAAACTTCTTGATTTAGAAAAGACATCCCAAATATGTCCCTCAACCGGACATTTCAATCCAGCTCCCAAGTGATATAGACAGACAGAAAAAAAGATGTGGTCAAAAAAAAAAGTCCAGATGGGGGCACAATGCAACCTAACACACCAGTGGTGGGTTTCAAAATTTTTTGGAACCTACTCTGTGGGTGTGGCCTCCTTTGTGGGAGTGGCTTGCCGGCCATGTGACCTGGTGGGAGTGGGTTTCCGGCCATGTGTTTTTTCTCTCTCTCTCTCTCTCTCTCTCTCTCTCTCTCTCTCTCTCTCTCTCTCTCTCTCTCTCTCT